ACACCGGCCGCCAGCGATTGGTTTCTTTTGTCAAGACCGTAGTATGCGCAACATCGTTTGATTTTTCGTTTTTCGCTACATCCTTTGATTTGACTAAACATATTTGTATTTTTTTTTCATAATCATTTTGTTGTTTTGCTTATACGCCGTTGTGTTTTCCTCATCACAGCTTTCTATTTGGTTTTGTATGCATACCACAATAAACGCGCGACTGCGTTACACAACCGACATGCGATTGTTTGTTTTTTTTTTCTCCCGAGTTCTTTTATTCACGCATACACGAGCAATTGTCATAATATCCAACCGGCTTTCCGTGGCTAGATCAAAAGTACACGACTGCTGTAGCCGCGTTAATTTTGGCTATATTAAAATTGATTACATCCATGAGCTGCTTGTTTGCAAATGTCTGTTTAATTTCATCATTGATTTTATATAGTTTATCCATAGTGCATCTATTTTTCCTGAACCTACTTTTTTTGGGGGAGAAAAAATTGATTTTCTCAAGAAACCATAAAAGACTTTAATTATTTATTTTTTCGAGTAATTTGCACATAGTATTTAGTAGTTGTTCGGTACCAAATTCCAAAAGATGACAATACACACGTCTTGGTCAAGGGTCTTCGCCGATAAGACAGAGAAACGTCTAAACGGACCCTACTCCATCCATCATTGCATAGCTCGAACTAGAGAGCCTCTCTAGCTCGAACCGGCTGCCGCCTCAAACAAAGGCATAGTTTTTGATAATTTTAGTCTTTTCCGGCCCAGCGTCATCATCGTATAACCGTTGTTTTGACACGCGTCGCGTCTCCATTTTTGCCATCGGTGGCACATAGTTTTAATGCCAGTATTAACGTATTACGATATTTTTTATGTTAATTGTTTGCATACGGGTGCATTCAATTAATTTTATATCGCTCACGAGTGCGAATTTATTGGTGTGCGGACACCAACAGGATCATTGGGATCCATCGTCGGTGCGTCAGGCACTCGACTTGTATTTTGGTCATTCTCAGTTATTTAATTTTATATTTGCGGTTCGATCTTCATCGTGTGAGTCACGGAAGCTGAACAATCTATGTACGGTAATGCGCTATCTTAAAAATGGTGATACGCGATATTTTTTATTATCAATTTTGTATTATTATATTATTATTGTATGTATGGCCGAGTTGGCTTGTAAGTTTTTGGTCAAATATGAAAATTTGTATTTTATAGTAGGTGGTTGTTTGTTGGTATTTTGAAAATTTTTGAGAAAATTATTTGTCTTGAATTTCTTTTTTTATGTCTTAGTTCCACGATAGAACTTAACACGTTCGCTGCGTACAACGCCAATTGGCGTCAATAGCGTCACTCTTTATATACGGTCGACGCCAATTGGCGTCATCTGATATACCGATTATTATGAGCTTATAATTCGGTCAGCGTTAGAACCAGTGTGCTGATTTTTTGTCAGCGTTATCTACAAACATTTTTAAATATAATTTTGAAAACCGTTTCCAAAAATAACCATTTTTTGTCTATTTATGTACTTCCCTATTACTTACTTTTATTATGTCGTTTTATTATTATTAGATATACCCAAATGATGACGACTTGTAATCGTCATAGCACAATATTATTTTTGTGTGTTAAATATAGATATGTTGTATTTAATATCGATTGATATCGATCGTATGCATTTAATTAAATTCATATTTAGTTTATTTTTCTTTAGTTATTCAGCCAATATGGACGTGTACCAATAAGTGAGTAGATTTATCTGTATAATTATACGATAGCTAGGTAACTACGTAAATATAAATTGAGTTGACATATATAAATTTTATTTTTCATTGTTTTTTTATAGTGTTCTTTTACTGAAATTAAATATGGATAGTTCTGATAATGCTGGTTTGTCTCAACCCAAAAGACTTAGTACAGATATTGATCTCCGTTCTACTGAAAATGAAATTGAAAGACTTCTTTTTGAATTTGACGATGAAAATATTGATTATTGTGATTCTGGCAGTGATTATTTGGGTGAAAGTGATTCCCATTCTTCATCGACTTCGGACGTTGGAAATGAAATGTCTACTGAACAAAATCTCGAATTTCCCAATACAATAACAACTAATAACACTTGGACAACAAACGAAATTGATCTTTCTAATTTTACGTTTGATAAACAACTAGGATTACTCGTACCAATACCCGAAATCGGAAAACCTATTGATTTTTTTTTCATGCTGTTTGATGAGAAATGTTTTGAATTTATAGTTAGAGAAACAAATAACTATGCCGAGTCTGAATTTTTACGAGTTGGTGCTGCAGAGCGTTCTCGTATATCTCAATGGAAACCTACGAACCGTGATGAAATTATAACTTTTATTTCTTTAGTTATTCACACTGGCACTATCAAACTAAATCGATTAAACGATTACTGGAAAAAACATCATTTATTTAATTTTACATGTTTTTCAAATTATATGAGTCGCGATCGCTTTCTATTACTTTTAAGATGTTTTCATTTTGCCCAGAATCCTACTGACCATTCTGAAAATATTCCTACCGATAGACTTTTAAAAATTCGCCCTCTTATAAATTATTTCAATAACAAAATTAATAATATGTATTACCCAAATAAAGAGCTTTCACTCGATGAATCAATAGTATTGTGGAGAGGTCGCCTTATTTTTCGACAGTATATACAAAATAAACGCCATAAATATGGTGTAAAATTGTATATGCTTACCGAACCAAATAGACTTACGTATTATAAAATTTGCTGTATATATGGGTATTTTAGATGATCTAGGAGGTAAAGATCATGCTGAAAACGTAGTACTACATCTTATGTCCGAAAAATTGAATAATGGTCATTCAATCTACATGGACAATTTTTATAATAGCATTGATTTAGCTGAACAATTATTACAAAAAAAGATATACTGTACAGGCACATTAAGATCTAACCGAAAACATATTCCTGAGGCCGTAGTGAAATCGAAATTAAAACCTGGAGAAACAAAAGCGATGTACTCTAATGGCGTATTGGTTGGTAAATAGAAGGACAAATGGGATGTTATGTATATTTCTACCGAGTTCAAAAATAATTTAATACTTGCAAAAAATAAAAAGGGTCAGGAAAAACTAAAACCAGAGCCGATAGCAAATTATAATAAATTTATGAGTGGTATTGATCGGCAAGATCAAATGAACAGTTACTATCCATTTTTACGAAAAACCATTCGTTGGTACAAGAATATAGGAATACATGTGATCCAAATGCTATTATTAAACTCTTATAATTTGTACAATCAATCACAAGTCGGATCTAAGATGACACTCTATGATTTTCGTTTGTCTATTCTAAGTGAACTTTTATCAGCGTTTTCAAAACCGAGACTAGATGCTAAAAGAAAACACATTCCAAAAACACATGAAATAGGAAAAAATGGAAGGGCACTTCGTAAAAGATGTTGTGTTTGCGCAGAAGAGAAAATACAGAAAGATACTTCATATTTTTGTCCAACTTGTCCAAATCAACCAAGTATTTGTCTAGAACCATGCTTTACGAAATTTCATTATAATATATAAGTTTTTTTTGTTTATTTAAAAATAGTTATTAAAGATAAGTTTTTATTGTTTTTTAAATTTTTTTTTATTGTTTTTATAATAATATAACAGTCTGCTTATTAATTTGAATTGTTTGTTTAATTTAACATTTGTATAAAAAAAAAATAGTTATCGCCAATTGGCATCATTCAGCATATGGTGTAAAAATTATTCAATAGTGCTAACAACGCCAAATGGCGTCGTTCTAGATTTTATATTGAAAATTGCGTACGCACCGCGACCTAACCTAGTATAAAATGGTTTGATTACTTTAAATGTATGATTATAATAATAGCAATTAAAAACAGTTTGAAAACGACAAGATCGTTATTTAAAATCGTGGGTGCTGGAAAAACGTCATTCCGAAAACCGTAAATCAAAAATGAAATTTCCAAGGCCCCAATAAGGTTACAAATTTTAAATATAGGGCAACAAAAATTTACAAATTACTTGGTCTTACCAATAACAAGTTATAAAGTAGTAAAATACGATTATTCATTGAGCACTATAGACTTCAATTAGGTATGCAAGAAGAAGCATGAGACGTGCGCAAATTGAAAATAATAATTTCAAGGTAAACGAAGAACGTTAGTATACCTACATCAATTTGGATCATGCAAATTGATACACATATGATTTAAAAATCACATTATTTTACTTTTGTGAACTGGATAATTGCGCAAAAAAGAAAATGCAATTTGTAGGGCAGGGGAGTGACGTTCGAATTCCGGGTCTAGTCGTACAAATTCATGCTAATTAGGTATGTACCTAAAAAATATTGGCACAGGCACAAGAATTAATTTTAATTTGACTTTTGTTTTGTTCAGTGAGGCTAGAAAAATATTTCTCCAGCTCCCCACGGATATTTTTAGATTTGACACATAATCTAAAAGTGTACAATTAACGAAAATAGTCGTGCAAAATACTAATTGCATACTAATTAACTGCACAAAAAAATCGTAATATTTTGAATGTGGAGGGAGGGGCAGAGAAACATACATCGAAATGACGGCGTTGCGCGTTGTCGATTGTCGGATAACAAAAATATATACCTTAATACCATATAAATCATATTACATTGTATATACTTGTATGCTATATGTCTAAATAATTATTGTTAATTAATTTAACTACTTTAATAGCATTTTTTTAATAGCATATCATTTTTATGATAAAATATTTTTTGCTGAATAAAATGTTCCCTTAAAGTACAAAGTGATTGAAAAAAATATACAATTTTTAACTTTAAACAACTCATGGTAAATATTTGTTCACATGAAAACAAAATAGACTGAAATAGTGAAATGTAATAAAATGAAAAAAAAACAAATTAACTTAACTTTCTTCCTAAAATGAAAAATTAATTCATTAATTTCACATTAATTAAAAAATTAATTTAAATGAAAATCCAAAAGTAACTAATTAAGTTAAAAAGTTAATTTAATTTAAACTTGTTAACACGTTAATGCCCAGCCTTAATAATATATTATCGATTATTGATAATTCTAATCGATTTGTGTTAATACTTTATACCTGTTCAATATTTATTAATTCGTAAGTTTCGCGCATCAGGCATCATTAAAATATTTATAAATACCTATAAGTTGTTTGTGTGTAGATAGCAGTCGCTGTGTACTCGTGTTATTCAGTTATTTTAAACAGGTGTGATATTTGAGCATTTTATTCAAAAACGCAACAAAATAAGGCACTATTTTTACCTGACGTTTAAGTCTGACTATATTATCATTATAGTCTCTAAAGAGCAAAATACTCATAATTTATGCCCATGTAAGTTTTTAATATTGGTCGAATATATACTTTTTGTATAATATATAAGTTATATAATATATTAATACATACATTTATAAGTAAAAAAATAGATAAAACAAATCTTATAATTAAAATTTATTTCCATCATCATAAATACATAGGTATTATTATTTTATGATTTTATAGATATTATATAAACACGAATCAAGACAAAAATGATCCATGCCATGCCGACATTTAATATTATAAAAATTTGCCCTAATATGTTCTTACTTAGGTATTTTTAAAAAAATTTTCACTTAATCAAAAAGTTAGAAAATTAAATAAAAGGTTCCTCATAAGTTTTTACACTATAGCTGTTTAAAAAAATTAACTATATATTATAATATATTCTTTTTGTAAGCACTTAAAGTTCAAATATTAATAAAATTAGTCAAAATCACGAAAATTGTGTCTGAGAAATCACTCCCATAGATTTATTACTAACCAATATTGATGGAAAGATAACCGCAATACTGAATATTCTGTTGCCTATGCATATGTTAAAAGGAGTTTTAATAAACATTTATTTTTAGTAATAATTCAAAATTCAATTAAGATAGATAATAGTTAAAATTAAAAATATATTATTAAATTAGTATCTATTACGCATATAATATACCTCAGTTATATTAAAAATAATTATTAACTATAGTCTTTAAAAAAAAAATAATATTTTAAGGAAATTATTAAATTTAAAAACATGACATAAAACAACAACTGACATATAACATACTAAATTCACATAAAAAAATAAATATATACGTTTTAACATAGTTAAGGAAGAAATTGTACTCAATTATATAAAATTCAAACATATAAAACATTTTTTTAAATCTAATATTAAGAATTAAGATGTACCATTCGAGGTAGAAAATATATTTGTTTTGGAATTTGTTATGAAAATATTTACAGTTTTGAATAAAAACACATTTATGGCATAATAACTATCATATCGTGTGCACGAACAATAAAAACATTTTCGCTGGAAAGAGGGGAGCATCAAAATATTACTACAAAAATACTATTAAATGATTTTAAGTGAAATTTGTTATCAAGTGTGGTGATTAAAAATAACATAGAAATTAGAGGTATAAATATTTATAGAATAATTAAGAAATGTGTAAAATATGCCAAAATAAATACCACAGATAGTAAATTCACTCATAAAAGCTAGGTTATAAGCTGGTAATATTTTATCACAGGATAATTAACTTATAGTAAAACAATAAGTTTACAAAATAAGTAAAGCCAGTACAGCAAGTTTTAAACAGAAGAAAAATAGGATTTTTGAACATAATTCTAAGCAACATGCATTTAACAAACAAATTTTAATGTGTGAAAACCAACATTTATATTATATATATTAATTTATTCGAAAGAAAATTTAAAAAAGATGAATCATTTATTTATTTCAAGTATGGTAGCAGTTGGACTTGGGCTCCGGAAAAATAATACCGTATTGATTTTATATTTATATCCTAATAAAATTAGCTCAAATATTAAATGATGAAATTGCAAGCATCGAAAAAAAATTGTAGACAATAAAAAGATAAACACAGATTTTGTTCGTGTACTTTTTTATTTTCCCGGACCGAAATCTACCTCTGAGTTAAGCTTTTGATTTTTACTGAAGATATAGTAGTATTTTTTTTTGTTTTTCAATTTATATATACAGTCTGTAAAACTATTTTTTTAATAAGAATATGAGCTATAAATAAGGATGATATGAATTACACGAAAAAAAGAAGTAACCAGCGGTTATACTTTATATTTAATTTATTTTTTAAATATCCTGTAATAATAAATACCTGTATATATAAATATATATATATATTAATATTATTATTATTATTTTAACTTTTGTATTTTTTTTGGACTTTTGATAAGGGATTTAGCGTTTAGCTACAGTAGTTTAAAAAGATAAAATAACAATTTATATCTAAAAATATTTAACAAAACAACTAAGATTTTTATTTTTCATATTTAATTTCGTCGAAATTTTAACTTTAAATGTTTAAAAAAATTTACAAATGTATATTTATAATTACAAATAATATATAATAATATATACACTTTATTATGTCAATATCTATGTATAAGTCACATTTTATTCTAAAATAACAATAATTCTATAATTGGTATTGACACAGATTAGTTTTTAAGTATGAAAAGTATCAGCATAAATGTTTGTGAGAAAAAGGGGGTTTTGTGAATTGGGTTTGTCTTAAAATGTAATACATTGATCGTAGGTATCAACAAACTAAGACGTGCGAGTCTTGTACATTATATTGCCCCGATAATATTTCACCCACATTCATTAACTTCAACTTTTGAATTTAAATTCCAATCATCCTACTTATATCTTAACGAATAATTTAATTATATATATATATATATTAAATTTATTTAAATATTTTATAGGTAATTACCACTATAATTTGTGATATATTATCGGTATTTAAAATAATATAATATACATATTTATTAATTGTTTTTGTAGATATAATGTTTTTACTTATTAATTTTGATATTTTTAATTAGCATATAAAGAACTAATGAGATACCTCGTATTCAATTTTCAAAGTTTTCGACCGAACAAAAATTTTTTTATCAATATAATTAAAGAAAAATTATAAATAATCAAAAATCTCTTAAATATATTTACCTCAAAAAGCTATTATATTTTGAATAATACATATTAGCATGCACATCAAATGTTTATATAAACGTTTAAAAAAAAACTATGATTATCCGTTTTGGAATTACAACTAAAAAACAAAATTTGTGTAAATATTGCTCTATTTTCTTAATTTTATTTTTAAAAGTGTCAAAAATCTTTTATTTTTAACCCCTAAAAGTACCAACTATACCCAATTTACTACCAGAAACAACCGCCTTTCAATATGAGGCATTTTCTTGACTACTTATCATAACACATAAAAAAAAAATCATTATTCTAGGATTAAATACCTAATTTCCTCCAAATATTAACTTGATTTATTTAAAAAAATATATTGTTAATTTTACTTCAAAATTATGATTTTAATACATTTTGTTAAAATTTGAGCTTCCAAATACTTAAAAAAAAAAAAAAAAACCGTTTGTAAGTAGTATATATTTGTT